CATTGCCCCTCATCCTATCGCTACACACCCTTGCAAAACCTCCTCCCCAGCTCTTCTGTAGCCCCTTCAGGCATGGGGGGGCCACTATAAGGTCTCCCCAGAGCCTTCTCTTCTCCAGGCTGGACGACCCCATCTCTCTCAGCCTGTCCTCATAGAAGAGGTGCTCCAGCCCTTTGATCGGTTTTGTGGCCTCCTCTGCACCCACTCCAACAGGTCCATGTCCTTCTTTATTGAGGGCTCCACAGCTGAACACAGTACTCCAGGTGAGGTCTCACCAGAGCAGAGCAGAGAGGCAGAATCACTTCTCTGTATCTGCTGGCCACACTTCTTTTGATGCAGCCCAGGATGCAAGTGATTTGTTGAGATTTTAAAAATTGCAGTCAGCTGGCTACAGTGTTTGCCACTTCTGACTAGAGAATGCCACTTCTCTAGAAGTGACTGTGTGTACACTGTAGCCCTTGCCACTCAAGTGCTTAACAACCTGAATCTACTCAGGAAGAAAAAAAACACACGGACACTGTAGTGCTTTAAGGGTGAGGCTCAGTTATTCTACTGAAGATCAATATTAGGTAGCTGTAGTATTATTCACTCAAAATCTTTTTTTAAAAACAAACAAACAACAAATTAAAAAACTTACCTAAATCTCTTATAAACTCTATATTTAGTGATAACAATGGGGAGGGGAACTTACTTATTGGTGTGGTTTCGAAAACTGTTTTCTGTCAATAAGAAATTCACAGACTGTGATAGTTTCTTAGTGGCATTTATTGCTTATGCTGCTGAGCAGCAATAACAAGCTGAATATAAGGGAGTTCTCGTGGACAGCCTATGAGCCAGTGATGTGCCCTCATGGCCAAGAAGGCCAATGGCAGGGAACTGCTGGAGAGAGTCCAGTGCAGAGCCACAAAGATAATGAAGGGAATGGAATATCTCCCTTATGAGGAAAGGCTGAAGGAGCTGGGTCTCTTTAGCTTGGAGAAGAGGAGGCTGAGGGGTGACCTCATAAATGTTTATAAATATGTCAATGGGGAGTGTCAGGAGGATGGAGCCAGGCTCTTCTCAGTGATGTGCAATGACAGGACAAGGGGCAATGGGTGCAAGCTGGAACATAGGAGGTTCCACAAAAACATTACAAAAAACTTCACTGTGAAGTTGACAGAGCCCTGGCACAGGCTGCCCAGAGAGGGTGTGGAGTCTCCTTCTCTAGAGACATTCAAAACCTGCCTGGACACATTCCTGTGTGACCTGCTCTGGCAGGGGGGGTGGGGCAGGAGGTCTTTCGAGGGCCTTTCCAACCCCTAGCATTCTGTGATTCTGTGTGATTCTGTGAAGATTCTAATGTATTGCTAATTACACCATTTTTTCTCAGAGTTACTAATTTGGTTCCATAAAGTCACATGCACAGGCTTACACAGGCTAACTATTTAGAACTGTTCTATTCCAGTTGGTGTATCTAGAATCTGAACAACCTCTGGGACCAGAATGACAGCTTCAGCTCTACTGATTGCTGAGTAATAAAGATAAGAATTGAGTTACTGGCAAGCTTCTTCAACCTTTGAAAAGTTTTTAATGAGAAGTATGATCCAGGTCAACGTTTTTAAAGTGCTTTTTGAGTTCACTGCCAGTTACTTTTTTGTGTTATGGTTCACATCAATACAATGCATGTTGACGAGAAAAGATATGCAAGTCAGAAAAGCTTATGTGTTTGTTACTTCCTCCCCTCCCTTGCCCCCAGCTGACCTCTTCTGAAGCGAAAGGCAAGCATAAATTCAGACTCCTTTTGGAAATAACTCCAGTAAGGACTTGAAAATAATAACAACATTTTTTTAGAATTCAAGAAAATTTAACAACAGACGTGTTTGAAAATGTTCATCTAGTGGTTCAGCTAACATAGTGTGCTAAGAGGATCAGAATTTCTAGTACTAAACTGAGCTAAATCAACATGTGGTAAAGGGAAATGTGTATTAGTCATGTAATAAACTGTTTTGCTTAGTACCAAGGTACTGATAGATTCCTCAGGCTAGCTTAGTTGTTGTTATCTTGTTTTACCTGAAGAAAGTGTGTAGAAAGATCTATTAACATTACCATTTCATGGAGAGTTGTTAACTAAAGAGCACAACCACGTATCACAGTGTTACTTCAGGCAGGAGCAGTGGTGGACAGTTATTTCTGGTTGTTTTGCTCCCAGACAAGGCTGAAGAACTTCTGAGGTATGTGAAAGCTCCATATTTCTTCTATTGTTTGTTTGTTTTCTCACTACTGTGCTGACACTTGATGGTAGAGAAATAAGCAAACATAAGTAACAAGAGAAATTTAAGGGGAATTCTTATTGCTCCCCTTGAGGAGGATTAAGCACACGTTTGTGCTTAATTATAAAGAGATTTGATGAAAAATGCTTTGGACAGAGTCTTACCACCATGAGCAGTTCTACAAGGAGTCTGCAAAGGCGTGACATGAGCCAGCTCCTTATACACACTTCCATGAGCACCCATGAGCACCCTCTGAGTGCTGGCATGGGCTCTTCAGCCCAGCACTGAGTCCCTTCCCTAGTGCCAGCTCCGTTGGCCAAAGTTGGCTCCTAAGCACTCTTACACAGTCGATTTATACAATTGATTGCTCTTACTGTGGCATTTCTTGTCTTAGCAGAAAGGGGAAGTCTGAAACACATTTTGTTACAGTTGATCTAATGAGAAGTATTTAAATTCTGAACTAAGATCCCAAGAACATACACACAGACATCATAAATAGAGGAAAGCTAGTCTCCCAGGCTCTCAGTTAACAGATATGATTATTGAGAGGCTGAGATTGTATAAACATCAATGGAAGAATGTATCATTCGAAGTCAAAGTTGTTTCTCTGAGAAAATGAACAGAAAGCATTTGCCTGACAGGAAGCCAACCAAGTCACGGGATTTCCCGCCGACCGTCAAAAGTACTAGTACAATTGTAGAGGAAGCAGATGTAGGGGAACAAGCGAGGTTGCAAGGTCGCTGGTTTCAGTGGGAGTATAAGGCAGAACTGGAGCACTGGAAAGCATGAAGTGTTAGACAAAGAAGCTTAAAACTGTGAGTAAATACACTGTCGTTTGATTCCTCTTATGTGCAGCAGGGCACGATTTTGCGCATTCTGGTGCCATATCAAGCGTGCGCATAACAAACGTGGACTCCATTATTTTTTCTTTATATAACAACTGAAAAGTGCTGAGGTGTTATCTAACTATTGCAGGCAAAATGGGAGACAACGTTTTTATAAAGCTTCACTAAAACAGTTACTAAAAGCAAGGCTCTTATTGTTTTGGTCAGTAAGTTTCTTCAACTTCGTTAGCATGTCTTGCAGTAAAATCTTGTTTATTTTATTTGCACATAGTTAAAAATGGACAGCAGATTGTTTCACCTAGATCTGATTTGCAGGAGAACATCTGAGTGAACTTCCTGCTTCGTGTAACTTGCATGTAAAACTAAGATGGAGACTCCTGTTTAGAGACATAGAATTTCTCCTTTTTACATTGGCTAGAAAGTAGCGATGTTCCAAAAGGAAGAGGTGCTAAATGAGAGCATTTGCCATGACTGGATTTTAACATTAGGTCTTTACTGCAGGAAGACACTACTAGTTTGCCAGTATGTTTTAAATTGTAAAAATGCAATTTTCATGCAAATTTCCCATGCCTAATTTAAAAGGAAATTTTTAAGGCATATTTCTCCTTCATATAAGATTGACAGTTGAAAACATATTCCACCAGAACAGTGTAATGAATTTTGCACTTAGCATCTGGATATATATATATATAAACACACCCCTGGACCCTTTATTTCTGTAAATAAACATGACAGACATTAATGTGAGGAAATTTATTAGTGCTTTGTTTCATGTCACCCTTTAGCAAATTTGACCCACCTCTTATGCATGCTCCCCAGAAGAGTTTATATTCGGATTCTCTGATTTTCTCTACCTTCCTCAGTCACTTTGTTGTTCTCTTGGATGGGAAGACTGGACCTATAAACTACTCAACTTTTACAGCTTCATTGAAGCCCCTGTCCTCTGTCCTTGCTGCACGATTCTAATTCTCCAGACCTATTCCCATCTCTGTAAATAATTCTGTTGGTTTCTTCCAAGCACACACCAACAGCTAAATATTACCTCCAAAGTGTGTGTGTGTAAAAATGAAAATAAAAGCAATTGTGGATAAAAACAACAACTAGAACTTGAACTAACTATTTCTCCATGTTATTCCTGGCTTCTTTTTCTTTTGTAAGTTCTTGTTTTCCCCTGAAGTTTTCTGTAAGCATTTTTCAATATCACTTCCTACTTAATAATTTTACAAAAAAAAAAAAGAAATCACTCTAAAATATTCTTTCTCTTGGTTTCCTAATGGACAGCAGTAATTGTAAATGGTTTCCTATCTAAAAATAGGAATAACAATAAGTATTTGATAAACTTTGCTGCAAGCTGATAATTGATGATGCAACCCTACTATTTCATTGCCATCTTTTCAATGCAAATGTCACTTACAGGACACTGAGAGAGTGACAGGATTAAAGCCATAGTCCAGCCTAAGCAATTCTATGATTACTCCTACCCAATACTAAAGAATGCAGCTTGCATTTGTGTTCACAGCATCTTTTTCAGGAAGAAGAAAAGAATAAAGAATGTGGGTTTTCACTAACATAAAATATCTTTCAGGCCTCAAAGTCATTCATGTTCCTACTACTGTGTACCAAATACCTGAAACTGTTGCCGTGGGCCCAGCTGTAGAGTCAAATATAATAAAGTTCAGTATGAGTGTAAGAGAATCTCTGTTTTTTTCAAACGTGTACAAAACGTCAGGTCTTCATACTAAAATTTGAAGTATCAAAATAGTAACTATAGTGTTTAAGACAATACAGTTCAATACAAAATATTACTTCTTTGCAAATCACTGAAAGTGTTCTTTTTTGTGTTTGTTCCATTTTAGAAAAAGTGAATAGAAGACAGAGTGTAAAGTCTGTTAAGTGAAATGCAGCAATGATACACTGTGGAAAAAAACATATCTGTGCTGCTGTTCCATGTATTCTTATTTTTGCAAGCATTTTAATCTGTTCCTGGAAAGATCTTCACCTCCTGAAAAACACAGCTAGAAAAATCCTCCACCAGGCAACAACTGCCAGTCCAGCACGTCAGCTGTGTAGAGGAAAACCTGCTCAAAATATAATAACACCATTAAAAGATAACAGGACTTTTATTATATCCCCGTACTTTGATGGCAGAGAAAACAAAGTCACTCGTGTGATTGGGATTGTTCACCATGAAGATGTAAAACAACTATACTGCTGGTTCTGCTGTCAGCCTGATGAGAAGATCTATGTAGCAAAAGCGAGAATTGACGTTCATTCAGACAGATTTGGATTCCCCTATGGTGCTGCAGATATAGTTTGTTTGGAACCGGAAAACTGCGATCCAACATACGTATCGATTCATCAGTCTCCCCAGGGAAATATCGACCAGCTGCCAAGATTTGAAATTAAAAACCGCAAGGCTGAGACATCTTCTATTGACTTCACTGTATGCATCTCTGCCATGTTTGGAAATTACAACAATGTCTTGCAGTTTATACAGAGTATGGAAATGTACAAGATTCTTGGGGTACAGAAAGTGGTGATCTATAAGAATAACTGCAGCCATCTGATGGAGAAAGTCTTGAAGTTTTATATGGAAGAAGGAACTGTAGAGGTAATTCCCTGGCCAATAAACTCACACCTCAAGGTTTCTTCTAAATGGCATTTTTCTATGGATGCAAAAGACATTGGCTACTATGGACAAATCACAGCTTT